TAATATTACTTTACATTGATCGCGCTCAGTCAGTATTTTAGAAATAAATCGATTTTTTTTAAAAATTAAACTGCAATTTTTATTGGTTGCAGACTGAGATGTGACGTAATTTTAAGGCGGGTGGGTGACTTTTTGTGACGGTTGGTAACGATTGGGATTTGGGGAGGTAAAAATCGTTCAAAAAGGTGACGTCATTTATGGATAACCCCCGTTCTAAACCCTCTATTTAATAGTGAACGGATCTAAGTCGTCCATACCTCAACATCCTTGACAGAGAGAGTGAAAAGAAAAAACGAGATCTCCCACTTGGCACGTGGTCCGAAGACGGATGGAGGCGGCAATGCAATCAGAAAGTGTGTACCCAATGTGGTACTCACACCTTAAAAAATACATTCGAGCATTTTATTTTATTTTATTTTGTTGTATTTAGTAAGGGTTTATTCAATGGTTTTTAATGTAATAAAAAAAATTTTAAGTTCAATCATCTGCTGTCGGCTATAGGGCTTGTAAGTAGGTCACCATCTTCCCGCTCTCGTATTTGCCTGCTAGTATATCTTAAACATTTTTTTTTATTCAATCGGTAAAAAAAAAATAGAAAAGTTACCCTGCTACAGTTAAGTTACTTAAAATCTTAAATGAGAATCATGGTAAAAAAAAAATTATTTTGTTTGAAAATTTAAACCTCTCTCCCTGGCTGACGAGATTTCGAATTTTATGCGAGAGAAACCGAGACTTACAAGCCTCATTTGTGATTGTGTATTCAGGATGTGTTGTGTGTAATATCTACTTCTTGTTTGTTGTTTTTGAAAAGTTGGGTTTAGTATAATGATGAATAGAAAAACTAGAATTTTTAAAACGTTAACAAAGATGTTTTGGAATACGCGAAAAATAATTTAATTGTGTAATGACTCGTTTTTCTTTGTTTTTTAAACCCCTTTTTTAAATTCTAATTTTAATTTTTTAATCAATAAAAATATTTTTCTATTGCTGTTTTTTTGGTGTCGTTGAGTCGAAACGATATCTAGGAGTTAAAGTTGCGTTAACTGAACAAATTGTCAATATATTTAGCGACACGAACACCACACACTTCTATTTTCTAAAAACTTACCCGCAACCTTCTCTATCGGTACCAGAATTATTCCGATGGCCAGACAGATGATGAAGTTAGACATTTGCGACAGCTATATAAATAAACATACACATATATATTAATATATATATATATATATATATATATATATATATATATATATATATATATATATATATATATGTGTGTGTGTGCGCGCGTGCGTGCGTTCGTGAGCAATAATGAGCTTTACCAGCCCGCTTGGTCAAAGCCCGAATGCACTTGGCTCGCTTGACCAGTATCCGAAGAGCTTAAACTTGATCAAGACACTAAAAAAGTCAGAATCGAAATTCCGAATAGCGGAAATTGGAGATTGTTGTGTTCGATTTTGATAGAGGTCGCGGTGGTACCCGAAACGCAGTTGTCATAATTTCTACAAGCTAGGAACAGAACACGGTGCTACTCATAGAACTGCATCCCAATAGTGAGTTTTCCATCCTGCACGAAAAAAAATGCTCACCTTAGCATCCGTGGACATTGATCAAAGATCACTACTTATCCACACTGACCAGCGGTCAAGGCTACATTCGCACAGCACATCGCTGCAAGTGTAAAAAAAAATTACTATATACTTCAAAATTCATAAAAGCTCTACTTCTTATAACAAATGATAATAAGGATTAAACATTTATAGTATAGAATATTTACGGAGTGGTCTAGCGGTAGAGAGCTGGACTGCTAACCCGTAAGTCTCGAGTTTGAATCCGGGTTCAATGCAGTGGACCTTCCCTGAGTCCACCCAACTCTGATGGGTACCTAACTCACGTTAAGGAAAGTAAAGGTGGCTGGGCATATTGCTGACCACACTATCTCTTTATATGCCGAGGTCACAGAAACAAGTGAACTCTACTTCACTTGCTCCATATACCGTCAGGTTTCAAAGGGAAACTTTATTTAGAATAGAAAAATAATTATCATGTATTTAATTCGGGCTTTGGCCGGTCGCCCCTAGCCAGTTTGTCGAAATCTTTGTGCCAATAAATTGGAATTGATATTAACCAATGCGTGAGATGCAGTGGCGTAGCGAGGTCGGGTGTCACCCGGTGCGGCACTTAATGGTGTCACCCCCCCCCAGAGGCGTTGCGACCCTTCCCGGGGACAAACCCCCTTCAGATTTTCGATTTGCACCCCCCTCCTCAAGTTTTCGATTTGCACCCCCCATCAAGTTTTTCTCTATATATTTTGCTATTTTTTGCCTTGGTGTCACCCCCCTAAATGGTGTCACCCGGTGCGGTCCGCACCCCCCGCCCCCCCCCCTCGCTACGCCCCTGGTGAGATGGTTGACTTCGGGTTTTGACCTTAATATAAATGTGTGTATATAATGTATATAACCAAAAATGTGTTCTCGGATACAACTTGGTTACCTTTGAAATTCACATGTAATAATTTTTTTTTAATGATAATAAATCAATTTTTTACTGCTGAATCTTAAAATAAATGTGTCCCTTGCGACCTTTGAAATTCAAAACTAATAATTTTTTTAAAATGATAATAAATCAGTTTTTTTTACTGCTGAAGCTTAGGCTGAATTTGTCCCTAGCTGCTAACTTAATAATAACCCTAATTAGTAACACCCTGTTACTATGCTAAAAAGAACACCAGCCCCAATCCTTACTTTGATTTTTAAAAATGATAATAAATCTGTTTTTACTGCTGAAGATTAAGTTAATTTTGACCCCTGTCCCTAATCGGTATCTTGATAATATCCATAATTAGTAATATGTTTAACTCTAGCAACTGGGCTAAAAAAAAACACAAGGTCTAATCCTTACTAGCTTATCCTATTGATGAGAGTAAGGATTCGGGCAAATCAAAAGTGTAAAGCTATGATTTGGCAAAAACTGGGGCCACGACTAGAGTGTCAAGATTTGGGTTATTGAGTTTGGTGACAAATCTAGCAAATATTGTTTCTATTTTTACAGTCTGTATTCCTATGATTATCTACTTACGGTTAACTTCTTATAAGCTAAATAAGGTTTATTATTAGATCTAGTTACTGTCGCATCAACAACGAGTATTAATCAGAACTAGACCTAAGATAACGTATATTGTATGAAACCACAGGATATTAAAACAATGTAAATATAGTGGTTGCCTTTACAGAGACGAACAGGATAATCCATGTTACATAAGCAAAGAATTCAAGAAGATAGACACCTAGACTCTATAAGGTTTCGATTTGTTTTGCTATTTCGTTCGCATTTTTTTTCTCTCCTATGTTCAATGGTGTTTTTCGGTACTAGAAAGATTTTCCCGATCACAAAAATAGCGACCATTTTGTGCGCCCGTGTATAATCTTTTTAGTCTTTCTTCTTTAACTTTACCCACAGTCCTTAAGCTTAGAAGGGCTGTTGCTAGAGATGGTGGGCCTCCTGAGACCATATACCTTCTATGCGCCCTAGCTAGAGAATGTGGGTCCTTCTTTGTTATTTTGTGCTTGAGATTGCGGGCCCCTCGTCCCTCTCATGGCCCGTGGCTTGAGGCGTATACTGCTTCTACTAAGATTTGATGTCGTTGTTAGATTTGACATCAAGTATGCGAATAAATAGGATCCCTTAAATCCACCTAGCTTTAGTGAGCTTGGCTAGTGACACACACACACACACACACACACACACACATACACATACACATACACATACACATACACATACACATACACATACACATACACATACACATACACATACACATACACATACACATACACATACACATACACATACACATACACATACACATACACATACACATACACATACACATACACATACACATACACATACACATACACATACACATACACATACACATACACATACACATACACATACACATACACATACACATACACATACACATACACATACACATACACATACACATACACATACACATACACATACACATACACATACACATACACATACACATACACATACACATACACATACACATACACATACACATACACATACACATACACATACACATACACATACACATACACATACACATACACATACACATACACATACACATACACATACACATACACATACACATACACATACACATACACATACACATACACATACACATACACATACACATACACATACACATACACATACACATACACATACACATACACATACACATACACATACACATACACATACACATACACATACACATACACATACACATACACATACACATACACATACACATACACATACACATACACATACACATACACATACACATACACATACACATACACATACACACACATACTATGAAACCTTCACCCATTTTTTGGAATGTTGCGTGAAATATAATAAGATTACATGTTCTCTATTGAATGGGCTTGATTGATGTAAACCCTAGGGTTAGGGTGCTAGAAAATTGGCCTCAAGAACAGGGAAACTGGCATCAAAAACAGAGAAACTAGCCTATAGAAAACGTAAACTGGCCTCAAGAAAACTGGTCTCGAGAAAACTGGCCTCAAGAACAGGGAAACTTGCCTCAATAACAGAGAAATATATAACAAAACAATAATGATGCTAATATTTTACAAGATATAAATTGTATACATAACTACTTGAGCACAATAAAGGGTTTAACAAAAATCCGTTTTTAGCATACATCAAACTTCGGCTTGACCACACACCCAGAAATGTCTGGAATTCCAGCTTAAGACCAAAGATAACCCATATTTATATTAAGCATGAAACAAATAGTCCATAAAAAACGAGAACTCCTAATAAAATACAAAATAATAAAATAATACTCAGGACAATACAAAACATAACCGTAAAACTAGTAATAGAAAATATATATTTATCGCAATATATAACAAAATTCAAATACAAAAAAGTATAAATAGCACACCCCCTCCAACTTGAAGTATGATCGACACTTGTACATTTAAAATGACCAGTTCTGTTGACGAATGATGCCTAATGACCCTTGATTATAGTGTAAATCTTACAGTGTGTATGTGTTTGTGAGAGCGTGCGTGCTTAGTTGCAAGCTTGCGTGCGCGTGAACTTGAGTGTGTTTCTGAGTTACACCTACATAAAAAGATACACACACACATATATATATATATATATATATATATATATATATATATATATATATATATATATATATATATATATATATATATATATATATAAAAGCATTAATAATGAAACCATCTGAACCGATTTTGCATGTAAAATTTACTTTATTCAATGTTGTAACCTACAGCATATTTTAATGATACAAATTTAAAAACGTAATAACACCAGGAAGAAGTAACTGTATATAAAAAAATGTGAATTAAAGTATATACATATATATACATATATATATATATATATATATATATATATATATATATATATATATATATATATATATATATGTGTGTGTGTGTGTGTGTGTAAATATATAATTTATAATTTATATATATGTATATACACAATGACATAGACTTGTAAAACGAAATCCAGCGTAACTTCTCGAGGTCTCTAGTGACTGTATGTTGTGTTACGAGACGATGGAACTCAACAGTTACATGTGGAGCTCAATGGTAGGCGCTGCTGCCTCAGTGATGTCAAACGGATAGTAGCCTTCTTCTTCCTCACAGATTGCGTCTACGGGCTTTAAACTACAGCCAAAGAAAAGAAATTGTAAACACGATACCGGCACTTACATAGCAGGGTGAGGGTTGAAATATCTAGATCAGGGGTCTCCAAACTACGGCCCGCGGGCCGGATGCGGCCCGCGATGTCCTCTCGGAAATCTTTTTTGTCCACGAAAAAAAAAAACGTTTGTTGGTGATGGCTGAGGAACTTTGCCCAGAAAAATCAAGTGCATGCCTAAAAGAACCTGGCCACCGAACTAAAATTTGATAGTTAATGCGGCCCTCGGATTGAAAAGTTTGGAGACCCCTGATCTAGACGGTAACGTAAAAACTAGTATTTCTTTTTGAAACTTAGGCCGGGGTAGCAGTACTTGCCCGAGGGTGGGGGTGTGACACTAGCCTGGTGGAAGGGGGGGGAGCTAACATTGGCCCCGGGAGTAGTAGCAAAAGTTCGGGGGTTCTAGTCGGGTGAGGTGTAGTAGCGTTAAGCCGGGGTTTGTATCCCGATAGTTTATGTCTATATGAGTATATGTGTATGTATGTATGTATGGCATGCATGTTTTAGAGAGTGTATGTATTAAAGTGCGTGCAAGTGTAGCTAGAAACCGTTTAGTTCATTTCCTTACATATGATAAGCTATGTTATAAAAAATAGTAACCTTAAGGTTCATTTATTTAATGACTTTATAGCGACTATAATTTCTAATTGGATTTTTTTTTTAAATTGCAAATACTTATTACCAGACAGGCAATTTTCTAGTGTGGGGTAATAGGTGTGGTCGTGCGACCCTTTTTGAAATATAGTGCGGGTGAATAGGTGTGTATGTGGTTGTGTGTGTAAAGTTGTGTGTGTGTGAGTGTCGTATGAATACTTTAACGTGTGAACCATTAATATACCTTACGATATACAGGAAAAATCCGACAATCGGAATGAGTAACGTCAGCCACCATAGATACTTTCTGTTATTGACTTCGCTGGCTGCAGAATTTTTTTTTAAATATTTATTTTCAACATTCACATTTTTTTTTATTTTTAAATTTGAATTCATTATGATTAATAAACTTTTTAAAAAAGTAATTATTTTGATCGAAAAATGTCAAAGTTACATAAATTTATTTTTTTAAATTTTCAAAAAAAAATTTTAACTTTTGAATCATCGATTAAGTACGAAGCTAACTTAAACGTGTACTGAACTATAAACTGCTAAACATAAAGTCAAGAAACGTTTCATAAATTGCGTTAGAAAACATGTTTTGTTTCAAATAAGTGGTCAACATTTTGCTCGCCTGTTTGGATCCGTAACAAAGCACGATAGAAAAAAACTAACGCACGAGGAAGCAAATTAAATAACAGCTTGTAAAAAAAAACAATGCCTTATTTCACTCACGTGGGCAAGTTCCTAAAAATTTATCCAAACATTCAGTCCCACATTTCTCCATGCACCTCCCCAAACAGTTGGCGCCAAATGTGTATGCTGGGCAAACTAGGCAACATAAGAGAGTACACGTATTGTTAAATAGTTTTAAAATTATGGTACAGTGACATTCTTTAAATATATCATCTGCATAAGATAGAAACGATATCTAAAGCCAGTGGCGTAGCGAGGTCGGGTGTCACCCGGTGCGGTCCGCACCCCCTCCCCTCCCCCCTCGCTACGCCTCTGTCTAAAGCTACTAATCTATACCTACTATCAGCGTACTTACTTTTATTTAAAACAAAAGAATTTGTGGTTTGATTTTATCCCTTTTACAGCATTTTATTATTTTTAATGTTTTTATACTCGTTTAATAATTACTATATAATATATTTTCCTGAAAATAATGAGGGGGTATAAATTTAGTAGGACTGAAGATATAAAGTAGTAAAGATTCCTCTTTAGAATCCAGTAGAGTTCTCGGCAGATGAAGGGATAATGTGGTCAGTACTATGCCCAGCCGCCTTTACTTTCCCCAACGTGAGTTATGTACCTATCACAGCTGGGTAGACTCGGGGACATTCTACTGGCTTGAACCTGGAATCGAACTCTAGACTTTCGGAATAGCAGTCAAATGACTGAAGACCTAAACACACCAACATTTACAGAGCAACGGATTGGCATCGGTATGTAATCTATGTGACAAAAATGTGACAACACTACTCACACTGGCTGCACGAGAGTTCTGTCACTACTCACACTGAGTGCACGTGAGTTCTGACGATACAACACTACTCACACTGAATGCACGATAGCTCTGACGATACAACACTACTCACACTGGCTGCACGAGAGTTCTGGCGATCCATATCCCGTCTTACACTTGGCACAGGTCCCGGTAAACTTGTCACAGTCCCCATCACAGTTCTCACACGACCTCGTGCAGCCCCAGAACCAACGATGAAAGCCGCAGTCTGGATTCAAAATGTGAGGACCCATGGACTAAGTTATATAAAGCAATTTTCGGATGCTTCGTTATAAAGTCTGTGTTAATGTTATGAGTTTTTGTTTGCCTTTAGGTTTGCTTTTGCGTTTGCGTGTAACCTTAGTGTTTGTGTTTGCGTTCTCGTTGTGTGTTTTTTTTTTTTTTTGCGTTTGAATTTGTCTTTTTCTCTTTGCGTTTTCTTTTGTATTTTTCTTTTCGTTTACGTTTTCTTTTGAGTTTGTGTTTTTGCTTTTTTTTTTTTGGTTCACCGTGGCGGAGCACGGGTATGCAACTCATATATATATATATATATATATATATATATATATATATATATATATATATATATATATATATATATATATACGAGCTGACCCGCGCCGTAAGTATACGCCGCTGTTTAGTTGTTTTATTTTCTACTTTTCAGTAATTCATAATTCACAACCAATGCTGCGACTGAAAATATTTTGCTTTAAAACACTATCAGTAGCTAGTACAGACGATTATCCTCACCCTCCCTCCCCACCCCCACTCCTCCCGCAAACTAAGCGAAAGTAGCCGTCCGTGACGACAGTTTACAGACAACAATGAATAGTTATGGCAGAAATTGTTATTACCTCCCCTTTTTAAATCTAAATTATCTGCCCCTACCCCAAACATAGAAGAAGATTGAAAAGAAAAAAAGACTTGGAGAGAGACTGATAGAGACTAGAGAGACTGAGAGAGACTAGAGAGACAGAGAGACTGAGAGATACCTGAAGGGCAGGTGAGATTCTTGCCGCAGTTGGAATCTTTGCGAAGGAAAGATTCTCCCTCGCAATTGTCTCCGTCGTTAGTTGGAGGTGGGTTGTCGCACGCCCTACACAAGTAAAAAAAAAAGTTGGAGGTGGGTTGTCGCACGCCCTACACAAGTAAAAGAAAAAGTTGAAGGTGGGTTGTCGCACCCCCTACATGAGTAAAAAAAATTAAGGTGGGTTGTCGCACCCCCTACATGAGTAAAAAAAATTAAGGTGGGTTGTCGCACCCACTACACAAGTAAAATTAAAAAGTTGGAGGTGGGTTATCGCGCACAAGTAAAAAAAAAACAATGAGTTTAAAATCGCGGTATTTTGTTGAAATTTGTTCATCTTCAATACTCGTTTTCGTTGCATTTTACCACAGAATATGTGTTTCGGTTTTCGTCGCTTGCATAGATCCTTACGGGCATGTTTAAGAAGGGCACGTCATTCGAGAGTCTCAATCGTGACATCTATCTAATACAATAAACTATGACGTAACATTTATCTAATACAATCATATTTGACGTCATATCTATCTAAAACAATCAACTATGACGTGACATCTATCTAATACAATCAACTATGACGTGGTACCCAATACAATCAACTCTTGAATGTGCGTGCGAGATTAATGGCACTCAATTCTCAATTGTCCCTAACTGTTGAAGTGAGAAATCAATTATGAAACAGAGATTCGAATAAACCGACGCTACGAAACAAAAAGTTCTTGACAAAAATTTTAATGTGGATTTTATTGTCAAACATTTCATCTTAGGTTAAACAAATCACTCTCAAGCTGTTCTCCTCATTTTTGAGATGAAGTAAACACAGAAACGCTGTGTAAACTTAGAGGAAATGGTCCACATGTCATTAACACTATAGAAAAACATAATTGAAATAGATTCGCTCCGTCTGGTCATTACCTTCTGCGTGTGTGTCCGTATTTGCCACACTCCAGTACACACTCCCACTCACTCCAGTGACTCCATTGTCCGTCAGCTAGGAGTTCAAAGTTACTCGTATCAGTAAATCACAGTACTCATTTCACACACTGATCCAATATATATATATATATATATATATACATATATATATATATATATATATATATATATATATATATATATATATATATATATATATATATATATATACAGAGAGAGAGAGAGAGAGAGAGAGAGAGAGAGAGAGATAGTGAGAGTGGACTTTTTGTATGGACCTATTGTGTTGACCTATTGTGTAGACCAATTATGTGGACCAGTTGTGTGGAACTATTGTGAGGACCTATTGTGTGGACCTAATTTGTGGACCTATTGTGTTGACCTATTGTGTGCACCTATTATGTGGACCTATTATGTGGACCAATTATGTGGACCAGTTGTGTGGAACTATTGTGTGGACCTATTGTGTAGACCTATTGTGTGGACCTATTATGTGGACCTATTGTTTGAACGTGTGGACCTATTATGTTGACCTATTGTGTGGACCTATTGTGTGGACCTATTATGTGGACCTATTATGTGGACCTATTGTGTGGACCTACTTCTAGGTGGTTTACCCACGTCCTCATCTATCCGTTTGTCGTTGTCATCATCTGCCAAGTAACAAGTGAAAACGTATTATTATCAGAGGCGTAGCAAGGGCTGGGGTGGGGGAGCGGACCGCACCGGAGACACTTTTTAGGGGTGACACCAATGCTGTGAATGGTAACTCTATGTTGCTAGACCTGTGGATGGTAACACTATGTTGCTAGCCGTCAAACCTGTGGATGGTAACTCTATGTTGCTAGCCTGAGACCTGTGGGTGGTAACTCTATGTTGCTAGACCTGTGGATGGTAACTCTATGTTGCTAGACCTGTGGATGGTAACTCTATGTTGCTAGACCTGTGGATGGTAACTCTATGTTGCTAGACCTGTGGGTGGTAACTCTATGTTGCTAGACCTGTGGATGGTAACTCTATGTTGCTAGACCTGTGGATGGTAACTATTTTATCAGACTTTTAAATCCTGAATCAGGCTAGAGGAAAAGAGGGGTCTATCGGTCTGAAGCCACAGTGGCACGAACAGTTATACAAGCAAACAAAACAAAGGGAAGGAAAGGGAGCTCACCTCGACCGTTGACAACCTCTTCATCTATTAACCCGTCACAATCGTTGTCGGTTAAGTCCCCTGGTTGCATTTCATAATTCGGCACGCATTTCTTATCAAAATAGGAGGAAAAATCCATGCAACTTTTTACTTTTACACTCGTGAACATTAATGTTTATGCTACATTGTACATTATCGGTGATAAGAGTGTAATAGGCAACAAAGTATGAGAGTTCTTTTGAAAAAAAATATCTACATCTACATCTACATCTACATCTACATCTACATCTACATCTACATCTACATCTACATCTACATCTACATCTACATCTACATCTACATCTACATCTACATCTACATCTACATCTACATCTACATCTACATCTACATCTACATCTACATCTACATCTACATCTACATCTACATCTACATCTACATCTACATCTACATCTACATCTACATCTACATCTACATCTACATCTACATCTACATCTACATCTACATCTACATCTACATCTACATCTACATCTACATCTACATCTACATCTACATCTACATCTACATCTACATCTACATCTACATCTACATCTACATCTACATCTACATCTACATCTACATCTACATCTACATCTACATCTACATCTACATCTACATCTACATCTACATCTACATCTACATTTACATCTACATCTACATCTACATCTACATCTACATCTACATCTACATCTACATCTACATCTACATCTACATCTACATCTACATCTACATCTACATCTACATCTACATCTACATCTACATCTACGTCTACGTATACGTCTACGTCTACGTCTACATCTACGTCCACGTCTACATCTACATCTACATCTACGTCTACGTCTACGTCTACATCTACGTCTACGTCTACATCTACATCTACATCTACATCTACACCTACACCTACATCTACACCCACACCCACACCCACACCCACACCCACATTCACATCCACTTCCATATCCAAAATCCAAATCCACATATACATCTACATCATCTACATCATCATCTTCATCATCATCTACATCATCTACATCATCATCTAAGTCATCATCTACATCATCTACATCATCTACATCATCATCTACATCATCTACATCATCATCTACATCATCATCTACATCATCTACATCATCATCTTCTTCATCATCTACATCATCTACATCATCATCTACATCATCATCTACATCATCATCTACATCATCTACATCATATACTTCATCTATATCATCTACATCATTTACATCATCTACATCATCATCTACATCATCTAAATCATCTACATCATCTACATCATCATCTACATTATCTACATCATCATCTACATCATCAATCATCATCTACATCATCTACATCATCTACATCATCTATATCATCTACATCATCTACATCATCATCTACATCATCAATCATCATCTACATCATCTACATCATCATCTACATCATCTACATCATCTACATCATCTACATCATCTACATCATCTACATCATCTACATCATCATCTACATCATCTACATCATCATCTACATCATCTACATCATCATCTACATCATCTACATCATCATCTACATTATCAATCATCATCTACATCATCTACATCATCATCTACATCATCTACATTATCATCTACATCATCATCAACATCATCTACATCATCTATATCATCTACATCATCTACATCATCATCTACATCATCAATCATCATTTACATCATCTACATCATCATCTACATCATCTTCATCATCTACATCATCATCTACATCATCTACATCATCATCTACATCATCAATCATCATCTACATCATCTACATCATCATCTACATCATCAATCATCATCTACATCATCTACAGCATCATTTACTTCATCTTCATCATCATCTACATCATCTTCATCATCTACATCATCTACATCATCTACATCATCTACATCATCATCTACATCATCTACATCATCATCTACGTCATCTACATATACATCTAGTTCTACACCTCCACCTCCACCTCCACCTACACCTACACCTACACCTACACCTTTACGAGAGTATTACAAAAATTACAAAGCTAACCACCATCAGCACACCTTGTTGATCTCCGCCGAAATGTACCCCGCAGGGTTCATGTAGCTGTAGTACCTAGCCAGTCCGTAAATGTAACAGCCAAAATAGACGGCTTTCACTCCGTACAGATTGTGTGAGCCTTGGGTGATGTTCCTGTTGACCACGACGTAATCAGCGCCGTGCACAGGGGTGATGGTCGTCCTGAAAGTTGATAAGGTGTGGTTTTTAGTGTGTCTGTGTGTGTGTGTGCGTGTGTGTGTGTGTGTATGTCGAGGGCAATGTGTTTTTGGTGAGCAGTGCAGTGTGGTTGAGGTTTAAAGTGCTTATATGTGTGTGCGTGTGTGGGTCTGTGGGTCTGTGTGTGCGTGTTTCTGGGTATACGTGCGTGTGTCTGTGTGTGATTGCGTGTGTGCCTGTGTCTATGTGTGTGTGTGTTTGTGTCAGTGGCGTAGCCACCGTAAAGCTAGCGTAAGCAAGGCATAAGGCCCGTGGCAAATAGGGGCCCTTTTCCCTTTTAAAAAAAAATTAAATTGGAATTTTAATATTTGTTTTATGTTGATAATTTTAAAAAGAAAATTGAAATACCGTTACTTTTCTACTCTAGAAAAATTAAAAGTTCCACAAAAGGCCCCCAGTCCTTTCTTACTGTACAGACAGTGGCATTCAGGGGGGGGGTCGAATAGGGCCCATCCGTAATTATTACACTACTAGCGTCGTGGTATTGTCGGGCAAGCCATTGAGAGAATTAGCCTATAAATGAACTTCGACTTTTTTGTGAGATTGTACATGTATTGCAACAAACCTCAACTTACTAGGAAATTACCTACACCTTCCTCCTATCTGTCTGCCCTCCCTGAAATTCCATCCTACTAAGCATCCATGATAACAATTGAGCCATTTTAAAAAAACCATGAACAGTGTTTTCATAACAAGATAAGTATAACATTAAATATGTCAATTTTTTTCTATTAATTTTTTTACCTTAAAGACATTTCATTTGTTGATCTAATTTATCTTTAATTAATATGGCGCTACTAAAACTATCTAGCGTTAGAGAGCTGGACTGCTAACCCGTAAGTCTCGAGTTTGAATCCGGGTTCAAGTCAGTAGACCTTCCCTGAGTCCACCCAACTCTGATGGGTACCTAACTCACGTTAGGGAAAGTAAAGGCGGCTGAGCATAGTGCTGACCATACTATCTCTTCATATGCCGAGGTCACAGAAACAAGTAAACTCTACTTCTCTTGCCCCATAGACCGTCAGGTTTGAAAAGGGAACTTTATTTAGTATAGAAAATTAATTTCATTTTATCATGTATTTAATTCTGGCTTTGGCCGGTTTATTTTGTTTATTTTGTTTATTTTGTTTATTTTGTTTATTTTGTTTATTTTGTTTATTTTGTTTATTTTGTTTATTTTGTTTATTTTGTTTATTTTGTTTATTTTGTTTATTTTGTTTATTTTGTTTATTTTGTTTATTTTGTTTATTTTGTTTATTTTGTTTATTTTGTTTATTTTGTTGATTGTGTTGATTGTGTTGATTTTGTTGATTTTGTTGATTTTGTTGCTTTTGTTGATTTTGTTGATTTTGTTGATTTTGTTGATTTTATTGATTTTGTCTGTCTGTCTGTCTGTCTGTCTGTCTGTCTGTCTGTCTGTCTGTCTGTCTGTCTGTCTGTCTGTCTGTCTGTCTGTCTGTCTGTCTGTCTGTCTGTCTGTCTGTCTGTCTGTCTGTCTGTCTGTCTGTCTGTCTGTCTGTCTGTCTGTCTGTCTGTCTGTCTGTCTGTCTGTCTGTCTGTCTGTCTGTCTGTCTGTCTGTCTGTCTGTCTGTCTGTCTGTCTGTCTGTCTGTCTGTCTGTCTGTCTGTCTGTCTGTCTGTCTGTCTGTCTGTCTGTCTGTCTGTCTGTCTGTCTGTCTGTCTGTCTGTCTGTCTGTCTGTCTGTCTGTCTGTCTGTCTGTCTGTCTGTCTGTCTGTCTGTCTGTCTGTCTGTCTGTCTGTCTGTCTGTCTGTCTGTCTGTCTGTCTGTCTGTCTGTCTGTCTGTCTGTCTGTCTGTCTGTCTGTCTGTCTGTCTGTCTGTCTGTCTGTCTGTCTGTCTGTCTGTCTGTCTGTCTGTCTGTCTGTCTGTCTGTCTGTCTGTCTGTCTGTGTCTGTCTGTCTGTCTGTCTGTCTGTCTGTCTGTCTGTCTGTCTGTCTGTCTGTCTGTCTGTCTGTCTGTCTGTCTGTCTGTCTGTCTGTCTGTCTGTCTGTCTGTCTGTCTGTCTGTCTGTCTGTCTGTCTGTCTGTCTGTCTGTCTGTCTGTCTGTCTGTCTGTCTGTCTGTCTGTCTGTCTGTCTGTCTGTCTGTCTGTCTGTCTGTCTGTCTGTCTGTCGGTCTGTCTGTCGGTCTGTCTGTCGGTCTGTCTGTCGGTCTGTCGGTCTGTCGGTCTGTCGGTCTGTCGGTCTGTCGGTCTGTCGGTCTGTCGGTCTGTCGGTCTGTCGGTCTGTCGGTCTGTCGGTCGGTCTGTCTGTTTGTCTGTTTGTCTGTTTGTCTGTTTGTTTGTTTGTTTGTTATCTAATTATATATTTATTTATTTATTCATTTATTTATTTTTAATTTATTTTCTTTTTTTTATTTTTTTATTTAACTTATTTAATTAATTAATTTATATCATTTAATGGAATCTGGTTCAAATAGGATTCGATTTAAAAATATACTTACTCATTTAGTTCTGTGTTATCGAAACGTAAAAACATTAAATCTTCTCTTCTTACAACCGCAACAAAATAATTATTGGGTGTCATTTGTTTTGAAAATGGTGTGCTACATAATATATAAGTTCTATGGTTAGAAACAAGATATATATATATATATATATATATATATATATATATATATATATATATATATATATATATATATATGTGTGTGTGTGTGTTTATGTAAATATAGTTATTAAGTTTTTATATATATATATATATATATATATATATATATATACATATATATATATATATATATATATATATATATATATATATATATAAACTACGAACCACACCGCCCCAAACCCATCTCATTAGCCACATTTTAAACAAATTTTCACCACTCGCGAAACACACCGTCAGACACCTCTCTACCTCACTATCCAACCTCTCTACCTCACTGACCCACCTCTCTACCTTATTATCCCACCTCTCTACCTCACAGACCCACCTCACTGATCCTCACACCTCCAGCTCCTCTCCTACTCACCTCCATATATAGCTGTCATAAAACAAATTATTAGCAACCAGATTGCTTAAGGAGCCGTCTCCTTCCGCCTCTATAACTCTACGTTGACTGGGATATCGGCAAGCGCTTGCTTGAAAGAAGAAAGCCTGTATGGGTTTATTACTACTGAAGGCGCGCGAATCTTGAAAGGGGAGCTGATGATGAATAAAGTCTATGATATTGGGGTATTGGTGCTACAAGCAAGGAGAGTTGTGTTAAGAGTGATAGGATTACTACCCCACTACCCTCTATAATAGCTTACATATTAAAGTTTTTTATATATATATATATATATATATATATATATATATATATATATATATATATATATATATATATATATATATATATATATATATATATATATATATATATATATATAAAGAAAAAAACACAAACGAAAACGAAAAAAGCTAAATAATCGACTATAGTACCCCAACTTATTCATAGTCTTTTTGCACTTAAACGAACGTAGGTGCCAAACCAAACCAAATGAACAATTATAATACTCCAAGCTTATTCGTAAAATACCTACAACATTTGCACTTGATCAATCCCCGCTAATTATGTAATTATTTTTTTCCCCAACACCAAAACAAAGTAATAAAAAGTAAATTCTTTTCCACTAATGCAATGTTTTATAAAGGGGAGTAATTATGTTTTCCTAATTTATCAAAGGGAAGTAAGTGCTAAAGGACTAAATATAAATAATTTTCAGACATAATTAGAATTTTTGTTATTTTTTCATTAAATTGTGTTTAATGAACATGCCGACAATTATTACTATTACTATCAGTTTGAAAAATGAAAATTATTTCCCAACACTTTCAATAGTAATTTTTTAACTCATAAATTTAGACAAATGCGCACGATAATAGTATAACACTTTAATCCATCGAAGTATGTCAACGACAAACATATTTATTTTTACATACAGAATTGAGCTTTATATATTAGATGTATATATATATACAAACGAAAACGAAAAAAGCTAAATAATCGACTATAGTACCCCAACTTATTCATAGTCTTTTTGCACTTAAACGAACGTAGGTGCCAAACCAAACCAAATGAACAATTATAATACTCCAAGCTTATTCGTAAAATACCTACAACATTTGCACTTGATCAATCCCCGCTAATTATGTAATTATTTTTTTCCCCAACACCAAAACAAAGTAATAAAAAGTAAATTCTTTTCCACTAATGCAATGTTTTATAAAGGGGAGTAATTATGTTTTCCTAATTTATCAAAGGGAAGTAAGTGCTAAAGGACTAAATATAAATAATTTTCAGACATAATTAGAATTTTTGTTATTTTTTCATTAAATTGTGTTTAATGAACATGCCGACAATTATTACTATTACTATCAGTTTGAAAAATGAAAATTATTTCCCAACACTTTCAATAGTAATTTTTTAACTCATAAATTTAGACAAATGCGCACGATAATAGTATAACACTTTAATCCATCGAAGTATGTCAACGACAAACATATTTATTTTTACATACAGAATTGAGCTTTATATATTAGATGTATATATATATATATATATATATATATATATATATATATATATATATATATATATATATATATATATATATATATATATATATATATATTTAAAGAGACAAATATATTATATATATATATATATATATATATATATATATATATATATATATATATATATATATATATATATATATATATATGTGTGTGTGTGTGTGTGTGTGTGTGTATATATATGTATGTATATATATATATATATATATATATATATATATATATATATATATATATATATATATATATATATATATATATAAATTCTAAATTTCTAGGTATTAGTGTATATTCCGTATCTGAAAGTCAAGTAGTAGGCAAAGCGTTAAAAGGTGAGAGTAAAATAACCTGAGTTGTACGACAAATTCCCAAAAGTTATTTGCCCGAAGGCCGATTTCCCAAAAGGACACAAATGCCCGAATGCCACTTCGGGCAAACAGCATTCGGGCAAGTGTCTTTCGGGAAAACGTCCGGCTCGAATAGATTCATACAGGAAGAAACTGGGAGACAAGAGCATTGAGAGAAGGCGAATAGAGCAAGAAAGCAGAAAGCGTTAAAGAGAAATAGAGTAAGTAAATAAGAGATTAAAATGGAAAGAAAAGTGTAAGAATGTAGATTAAAAAGGGATAAACCTAATGCCTGTTTGGATGTACTCACAACAGCAGAATCCCCAGCTTTGGCCAGGAAGACCGGAGGATATTTGGATCCACCACCCTCAGAGATTGTGATAGTTGTGGCGTCCTCTGACGAGATGACCATGTTAAACATCGGCGAAATCCGGGTAATCACCACCGTAATAAACTCCTTGCCATAGGATACCACGGGGGTCAACATCTCTGAATTTAGTTTCAATGAAATATATTAATTTAATTAAATCTTGTATATAAGGTTTGGATGGTACAGATATATCTTAAATGCGTGTGTTTCTTTATATGGGAGCCCAAGTTTTTGGAATTCATATTTGCATGTGTCAAAAAAAAACGAAGTTCATAGCTCAGCTGTTACTATAGATCACAACTCCAACCAGTGCAACAAATGCACGAGTTTTCGTTCTGGTTTCTGGGCCTTGCTTGGGCTATAAATGAACGTATACGAGAGAGTAAGATATTGCGAGAGAGAGAGAGAGAGAGAGAGAGAGAGTTTACAACTAACAATACACATGCAGTTACGTGTATAGTATGTATAGATACAGGCATTCAGTGTTTCTTTCAGGCATTTCTCGGGGGAAGTACTGCCTCGCGACTGACGAAATAGAAAGATTATATATTTTATACATTTAAAAACATTCAGTGTTCCTCCCGTCCCTTCCTCTCCTTATCCCAAAGTTTAAAGCCCCCCCCCCCCCCCTTTCAACCAAGAGGAGAATATCTAGAAGAAGTCCTCTTGCCATTAATCTTTAAAAATCACATTGGACTTTTTTAATTCCCAAAACACGCAATTTTCGTTAGTTCAGTGCGAATGTGCGTAGTTTCTATATATTTTTCCTGGGCCATTTGGCATAAACTCCAACTACATTTCCAAATGACTGAATGTATTGGTCATGCACACATTTTTATATCTTTTATTTTTACTATACCTAGAACGCTAGACTGCAAACCCGAAAGTCGAGTTCATATCCGAGTTCAGGTCAGTAGAACGCCCCTAACTCCACTCACTTCTGATGGGTACCTGACTCACGTTAGGGAAAGCAAAGGCGGCTGGGCATTGTGCTGACCACACTATCCCTTCATATGCCGAGGTCTCTGAAACAGATGGACTCTACTGTATCAGCCCCGTGTGTCTTGGGCACGAACAGGAAATGGGGACAGTACCTAGAAACAAGTCCCTGGAACCGACAGCGTCCGGAAGAAGTTGCATCGTTTCACAACTAATGACGGCTGTGTTGGACAGGCAGTCGCCACTGATCAAACCAATCGGATTTTTCCCTTCAACTGTGGTCCCTGTATTAGTCCATTAAAAAAT